GGGGGGGGGGTGTAAACTTGAGTTGATACAATCCAAGATTATTTCTATTTCTCGTTTTCTTTCTTAAAGTTGTTTACTGAGTAAATACTTGAGAATTTTACTATTTATTTAGTTTTAACAATTTCGTCAAATTAGAATATCTTTGTTTAAGACACAAATTTTCATTTATTTACTATGTTATTTGAAATTTAAGACATCCCTTGGATATTTACTTTTAAAGATCTTTTTTTGAAATATTTTACATTTTACAATAATAAATATCATTATATTAAAGTTTTTCTAAAATTTCGATCAATATAACAGTTTTTAAAAAAGGTGAAAATCCCATGCATTGATTATGAATCTGTTTTAACGCTTTTAATTGAAGTCTTAAATCTATTTTATCTAATGTTTTTAGCTTCAAGAAGAACTTCAAGTGCATTTTAAACCTGAAATATATATTTGGTTTAAACTAAACCACTAGTTATATTCAATCCTGTTTGGATAATTAACATGAATTCGGTTTTATTTTCAACCATATCTATCTATCTATCTATCTATCTATCTGTCTGTCTGTCTGTCTCTCTGTCTGTCTGTCTGTCTGTCTGTCTGTCTGTCTGTCTGTCTGTCCGTCTGTCTGTCGATAGATCGATCGATCGATCTATCTATCTATCTATCTATCTATCTGTCTGTCTATCTATCTATCCTTCTATCTATCTATCTATCTATCTGTCTATCCATCTATCTATCGGTCTACCTATCTATCTATCCTTCTATCTATCTATCCATCTATCTATCTGTCTATCTATCTATCTATCTATCTGTCTGTCTATCTATCTGTCTGTCTATCTATCTGTCTATCTGTCTGTCTGTCTGTCTATCTATATATCTATCTATCTATCTCCATATCTATCTCTATATCTATCTGCCTGTCTGCCTTGCTATCAAATTATCTGCCACACTTTGTTTTAGAAATCTCTACATATTTTAGAAATTTATTGAATTGAAGGATTTGAAACTGTAAAATGTATATTGTATGATTACTGGTTTTGTTTGATGAACTATCAAATATTCTGAGCTTTAAATATTTCAAAACAAATATCTAATTTTAACAGTATATGCTTGTTACTATCTATCTATCTATCTATCTGTCTATCCATCTATCTATCGGTCTACCTATCTATCTATCCTTCTATCTATCTATCTGTCTATCTATCTATCTATCTATCTGTCTGTCTATCTATCTGTCTGTCTATCTATCTGTCTATCTGTCTGTCTGTCTGTCTGTCTATCTATATATCTATCTATCTATCTATCTCCATATCTATCTCTATATCTATCTGCCTGTCTGCCTAGCTATCAAATTATCTGCCACACTTTGTTTTAGAAATCTCTACATATTTTAGAAATTTATTGAATTGAAGGATTTGAAATTGTAAAATGTATATTGTATATGATTACTGGTTTTGTTTGATGAACTATCAAATATTCTGAGCTTTAAATATTTCAAAACAAATATCTAATTTTAACAGTATATGCTTGTTACTATTGTTAATTCAAGGAGAGAGAAAAGTTAATTTTGGAACTTTAGGCTTTAATGGCTTTATTCTGTAAAAATCCGAATTGGTTAAAGTGTTCTCTATCTGTAGAATGCACAACTTTAAAGTAGGACATATATTTCGATGTTTTTCTACATAATCATTAGTCTTAGTACAGAATGTAACACAAAATTATAAACTAAGTGGACCGGCTTTATGGAATGGCTTATTTCTCAACAACCCATTTAAATACAATTTTAATAAATTATCATTTGATTACTTTTGCTCTCCGTCTAAATGATCTATTATCTGATTTATATGAAGAATACTTATTTAATATCAGACTTGTACCTTGAATATACTTTCCTGTGTTTTCCTTGTACTGCCCTGTATATAACTTGTACTGTACTGCCATGTTTTAACCTTGTACTGTACTTTAGGTGTACCACCGGGTCTAGAAGATATCTCGGTGTACAACGGCGATGACAACCACAAGGTCTGGGCGGGGGAGCCCGGAGATCCCGCCGAAATCTACGGCGATTACGGCACTATGCGTACCTTCAAAAGTTCCGCCTCCGGCATATCTAGCCGGCAGCGTGTCCGCCAAATGAGAATGGAATCCCCGCCGCCTCCGCCTATACAAGAAGATCTGGTCAGAGAAGAGAAGAAGGAGAAGAAAAAGAAGAAGAAGAAGTCACGTGATACAACGGACGACGGAATGTCTTTAGTAAACGGAAACGGAAATATCCGCGGAGGGAGAGGGGAAGGTAGTCTCATGGGGGGACGGAAGATGAGTGCCGGAAGCTTCATGGGAATAACTCCCAACGGACGTCCACCAATGAACGGAGGACCTCCTCGTGGAAATCACGGACCTCCAGGACCTCCTCATGGTTTTCCTGGACCACATGGTCCGCCTGGACCACCTGGACCTGGCGGACCTCCTCTAATGATGTATCCAGGTTCTAGATCTAAAAAATCTGGTTCCTTCGCTTCCCGTCCCAAGGGCATGCCGCGACCCATTCCTCCATACATGATGTTTGGTCCTGGCATGCCGCCACCACCCCCAGGATACATGATGCCTCCTGGACCCCCTCCCCACCTCATGCCACCACCAGGACATCCTATATACGGCCAACCGCCTTTTTTGGGACACTTCCCCATGGCCGGTGGCCGACCGGACTCTCAGGTGATGGAAGAACCGATCTATATGCCTCACAATGCCCGACCCTTATCTCCAGTGGCCAGCTACCAACCAGGACATTTCCCTCATGAAATGTACTACAGTCAGCAGCAGTATGCTACAATAGATAAGGCGGGGAAACATAGAAAACAAAAATCAAATAAACATAAACATCAACAGGAGGAGGACTCAGAGTATGGCGGAACCGGTATTTATAAGAGAGAGCATATAAACGAGAGAGCGTTTGCTCATTCGATGCGAAACGAGCATAGATCTAGATCCTACGGCTCTTTGGCAAACCTAGAGTTCGAACCTGCCGGGGAACCTGAACCTGGAGCAGGGTTTAATCAGAGCAAGGAGATCCTACAGATTATGGATGATTTACACTTGGACGAAGATCAAATTGAGAGAAGAGAGGTTCCATCAGACTTTTATCCACCTCCTCGCAATCACAGAGGCCAAGGGGGTCCGCCGCCTATATTCTTAGGGGCCCAGGTGCCGCAAGGACCTCCACCAGGGCGGAGACGTCGGTAACAACCTTCGCTCTCAATTGCCAGAAAACATATAAAATGTAGGAACAAAATACAGAAAACTTCGCAACATAAACTGGTATTTTGCCGGTGCCGGTTCGTGATTGGAACTATATGCACAAGGTTGGCAGAGTCGGTGAACCATGCAATCTTAGGAACCGGTTTCAAATAAAAAAGTGCCATTTTAATCAACTTCTGCTACAGCTCAATGTTTTATGTACACAATTCTAATTCTAGTGTGAAGTACAATTAAGTACGTGCTATGTACATCATCTTTTGTTGTACAAGCATAATGTGAGTACATTGGAGAACAAATAGTGAATGGTGAAAAAAAGAACGTATAGGTGAACCTGTTATAGAATTATTTTACTCTGTGATTTATTTTGTATTAGATGAGAAGACAATTTTTGGAAATCTTTTACCCATGGCCCAACCTTATGTCCATGGCCCATGTATGATTAATATTTCTACCCTTCACGATCCAATCAAGATCCAGGATCCATGGTCCATTTCCCCAGCCCTTGGTCTACTCTATAAAATGGTCCAATTTTCTTTCCATTTTTGGACCCTTTATCCATATGTTTTACAAAGTAAAGCTGTAATATTTTGTTAAATTAAAAATCAAATTGTTGAAAAATATTGATCTAGATGTTAATTACTAAAGGTTCAATGATAAATTTACAAGACAAGATTTAAAAATGAAGAAAAGAAGAACTTAAATTTCTTTTTGCAAGTCTTGTTTACAAAATATTGATTGGTTTGAATGTTTACATACCAATTATACTGTGTTATTAATTATCATCAATATTATATATAAATATACATTATTATTATAATTATTTTGTCTTTTGATAGATATAAAGAATTTGATAAAAAAGTTATAGAAGGTAAAAGTATCAAGAGCCAACTGATTAAAAAAAGTTTTTTTTTATTTCAAAGAGTTTTGTGATTTAACAGTATTAAAGATAAATTTAGTTAAAAAGAGTCAAATTTTCAAACTATTTAATTAAGTTATAAAATTGTTTTAGTTAGATAGTTGCACAGTTGGTTTTAGTTAGATAGTTGCACAGTTGGTTTTAGTTAGATAGTTGCACAGTTGGTTTTAGTTAGATAGTTGCACAGTTGGTTTTAGTTAGATAGCTGCACAGTTGGTTTTAGTTAGATAGTTGCACAGTTGGTTTTAGTTAGATAGCTACACATTTGGTTTTAGTTAGATAGTTGCACAGTTGGTTTTAGGCTAATAGAGTTACCCAGTTTCATAGAACTACATTGTGTCATAGAGTTGCATAGTTTCATAGAGTTAAATAATTTCATAAAATTTCATAGTTTGATGGAGTTAAATATAACTTTAAATAGTTTCATAGTACTCTATAAGGTATAGAGTTGTATATTTTCATAGAGATAAATAGTCTCAGAGAACTATTTAGTTTCATAGATTTATTAAGTTTCATAGATTTATTTAGTCTTATAGAGTTATTTAGTTTCATAGATTTATTTAGTTTCATAGATTTATCTAGTTTCATAGATTTATTTAGTTTCATAGATTTATTTAGTTTCATGGAGTTACGTTGTTTCATAGAGTTATTTAGTTTCGTAGATTTATTTAGTTTCATGGAGTTACGTTGTTTCATAGAGTTAGAGAATTTCGCAAAGCTTAATAATTTTTGTAGAACTACTTAGTTTCTATGTAGTTCTAAAACAAATGAAAAGTTGTGCGGTTTTTCCTTTTTCTATATTGAACTTGATATCAATATTATGATCTTGCTTCTGTTTCACACTTTCATGGTTTCTTGATTCTACTTATTTTCTACTTATTCATGCAATATATTCTTATATTTATTTCATAACCTGATAATTCTTTTATTCTGGTATCCTGGTATCCTGGTATCCCTGGTATCCCTGGTATCCCTGATATCCTGGTATTCTGGTATCCTGGTATCCTGGTATCCTGGTATCCTGGTATCCTGGTATTCTGGTATTCTGGTATCCTGGTATCCTGGTATCCTGGTATTCTGGTATCCTGTATCCTGGTATCCTGGTATCCTGGTATCCTGGTATCCTGGTTTCCTTGTATCCTGGTATCCTGGTAACCTGGTATACTGGTATCCTGGTATCCTGGTATCCTGGTATCCTGGTATGCTGATATCCTGGTATCCTGGTATCCTGGTATACCCAACCCTCCTGGCTGCACCCTAGAAACACTAAATGTCAGTACTAGAATTAAACTTGAAAAGAGTCAAATTCCTTCCTATAAACTACTCTATCTAATCCATTGCCGACCCTTAATTCTCCTCAAATCATGAATTCATTCATGAATTTAGGGACACTAGGATAAATAGATGAATTTAGGGACACTAGGATAAATAGATAAATTTAGGGACACTAGGATAAATATATAAATTTAGGGACACTAGGATAAATAGATAAATTTAGGGACACTAGGATAAATAGATAAATCTAGGGACACTAGGATAAATAGATACATTTGGGGACACTAGGATAAATAGATAAATTTAGGGACGCTAGGATAAATAGATAAATTTAAGAACACTAGGATAAATAGATAAATTTAGGGACACTAGGATAAATCAATCAGATAAGAGTCAATAAAGGATGAATGATAAATAAATGAATTCAGGAACACAATGATAATAGAGTTAGATTAATAAACACAAGGATACACGGCGGGATAAATTGATATTCTTTTTAGACACTAAATGATAAATGAATAAATTTGTGAACAATAAGAGAAATATATAAATTTAGACTAAATAATAAATGAATAAATCTAGAGACACAAGGATAAATGAATAAGTCCAGGGACGCTAGGAAAAATAAATAAATGTAGAGACTGAAGAATAAATGAATAAATCTAGGAACACAAATATAATTTAATGAATACAGGATAGATACATAAAGTAAAGAGCACAGGCTGTATATAAACTAGAATAAATGAATTAAATGAGTATCATGGCAATGAAATGAATAAATAAATGACATATTTTATTCATTTTTACTTTTACTTTCGGTGACAAGGACTTAATGTTCTAACTCAGCAATTATCTTGACATTACATATGCGTGTTCTCTCTTTCAGGGTTAACCCTAACCCTTCCTTTCAAGTAATAAAGAAGGGGGGGCATTTCGTTTTGGTGTCGCAATTTAATGTTACTAAAAACTATAATGTGTTTCAAAGCTGAAATCATGATAGATTTAATTTTAAGATAGGAAAGAATCATATTCAATCACTTAAAGCGTTGGTTAAAACATAAAATCTACAGTATACTTTTAAGTTAGGCTCTAGAAAAAGGGGGCCGAAAGATACTCTTGCCCACCCCCTTTTTTAAAGGGGGGGGGGTCTTCGACCCCTTGAACCCCTTGTTTCCGCGCCTAGGGGGGTTAAAACATATATTTTCATTTCTTTTGCTCGGTAAAATCTTACTGAATGTCTTAAAGAACCCGTAGTATTGGGGTTGCATGGTTAATGAGTATAGAAATTCGATCTAAATATCAAGGTTAAAGTCTGATCTGGAAACTTAAAGATGAAAACGTGAAACCTAAACTGAGATTTGATGGATAATTAAATATTTAAAAAACATTTGTCCCTAAAGATTATTTATATACAATACATAAAATCAACACAAATATCTAAACCTATAAAAAGAAAGATTCTTAAACCCAGTTCAGTCTATTTTCTCCTGTAAAAGTTGCAGGCTGTAAAGAAGCATGAATGAAGATTGCATGTATATTCTTCACTGGAAATCTGTATGCATGTATGCTTGAACGGATCCGCGGTGTCATGTTAGTAAATGTCCGATGTTCTAGAGATGAAATATCCGCTGCAGTGCATTTCGGTATTTTCTAACCAAACCTAATTCTCCAAAACGGGGTTGCTATAAAAAAGCATGTTGTACCAATTGAAAAATGCTGATTAAAAAGGGTAATTTAAATAAAATTGCCAAATTTCGGACTAAATTATTTCGATACGGCCAGGATGTTATTAGCGCATGTTTATCATGACACCGAGAAAAAAAGTTCTCCAGTTCCCAAGCTCACAATAATATTGTTTGAAGTGGTGTACACTGTAGAGCATTGTAGATAAATAATTAATATCAGTTAATATTGAATTGATTATCTGAAATTATAAGAATTCATTTAAATAATCTAACTTTTTATCTTCTACAGGGAGTGACTTTATTTGACCCTCCATTTTAAGAGGGTCAATTCCGATTCGCGACGGTACCCATCAATGGCAAAGAATTCCGTATTTTCTCGGCTAAAAACTGTGTGGAAAACTATGCTGGAAAACTATGCTGGAAAGCTATGCTGGAAAACTGTGTGGAAAACTATGCTGGTCGGAAAGGTTTTTACTAACAGTAGAATAAAACATTGTTCGGCTGTACCATATACAAAACGACTAAACATACAAATGCATATTTCGTTAGAAACTACAATATTGAACCCCCAATGGAATAACTTTCAGTCTCAATATGATAATTCTAAATATATTACTCATTAAAAAACTACAGTAAAATTACAGTAAAATTACAGTAAAACTACAGTAAAATTACAGTAAAATTACAGTAAAACTACAGTAAAATTACAGTAAAATTACAGTAAAATTACAGTAAAACTACAGTAAAATTACAGTAAAAAACTAAAAAAGGCATCTTCGTAAACATTGTATGTTAATGTTTTTGCTTTTTAAGAAGAATATTAAAATTTAATCATTTCCCGAAAATGTGAAAATTATGCTTTATAATAATATATCAGAGCTTGGATTCCATAAACCTTCAAAACGGTTTAACTAATGCGCGCTAATTTGTTTTTGTAAGATTTGCTTTAACTCCACAATTTTTATTTTGTTCATTTAAAGTACAGAACCGGTTTTAAGGCAGCTAGAGAAAGATGTACAGCATATAACCAGACTAAAAACGTCAACCACAAACTACACAGACTGCTTATCCCCTTTCACAGGGTGGCCTAAGTTGACCCGGTACGACATGCTACGTTTTTACGATAGGTTTTTATAGTGCCATCTCACGGCCACTTGTTAAACATAATACCCATTCAGGGGTAAAGTTTTACAACTTTTAAAGAAATACTCCAATTTTAAACATGAAACATAACATTTATGAATTCAGTCTATTTTTATGAAGATTTTGTGTTTCGTATCCAAAGGATCCTTGAATATTCCTGAATACAGATGTTTGCTGATTTTTTCGTGTACAGTACTTGTACACAATAGAACTGTGGCAAATATCGCATATTTTAGCTGATCTATGTAACTCTCTTATCTCTCTGACGTCAACACTAGACAGTATAACAATTAAATAAACCCTTTCTGTGACCGGACAAAAAAATACTAAACATAAACTTTACAATTTGTTTATTTATTGTAACCCTGTTAATAATATCATCATCAATATTATTAATTGAAATATAATCTTTATAATCATGAAAATTCCCAGATATTTTTTTATTCTATGCTTGGGAAAAGAAATTTATTGCATTCGTTTGAGGGAAAGTTGTGAATTTTAAATGCAAATGTTTTTCTAAAATAAATATATATCATTGCTGCGCCGGCAGAGGTGGTGTTGTTAAACAAACAACTAAAAATAATGTTAAAAATCTGAACCCAACCCAGCTGATAGAAAAAGTAAATTTTCTAGATCATTTAATGGCATTGGTCTGTATTGTGTACGTAGAAGTAAATAAATTCAAAGATTTAGACTTTTAAAACGACTGTTTAAGTTTATTGGAGTATCAAAAAAATTACAAATTTTTAACAAATATTGAAAAAACACCATTCAGG